TATTTGTATAAATATGAGCTCTGCATAGGTAATGTTCCATTATATTGTGATTAAACCATTAACATAAGCTAACAGTAAACATTAAGAAAACCAGGGTACATTGTAAACACTGAAGGCTGTTCTTTAGTAAACATATTGGAAAAACCAGGGTCCATACAATGACACACCGTAGTAAAACAAAAAAGTGGTCAGTCACACACTGCAGAAAAACAAATCGTCAAAAAGCATTTAATTTCAGTATTTATTGTATGTATTAATCACACAAATTGCTGCAATATATTTATTTTCTCATGTGAATTTTAGGCAGGTTGAATTTGGAAACACAAACATTTTAAATATTTTGAAAAATTTTACACAATTTAGACACTGATAGTTAATAAAAAAAAAACTTTTCCTCGTTTCTAGGAAGTACAGAATCACAGCTGGAGACTTTCCTCGTCATACCCCGGAAATCAACATACTCGCATATCAAATGCTGCCTTAGCTGTTCTACAATTTTGTTTACAATATTCCACCAAAGCATACGCCGAGGCATATCTGTATGCAACTCACATATGATCAATAAATCTATCTGCACTGATTTTCTGTAAATTGTCAGATGACTAGATGTTGACGTATAGACATGTTGTTGTTGTATTATAATCGAGGACGGGCGCCATCGGCATCGTGGCAAGCTATTGTTTACGAATTCGGAACTGCGACATCGTAAAACAACAGCATCGCGTTCAAAATACAAAGATACTAAAATTATACGCGACTATTTCTTACTGGAGAAATTGTGAATATCATGTAAATTTGAGACTTACCAGAAGATCGGAGGTTGCATTGACCCCGGGCACCAACAAATGTCAAACAAATATATGATCGCGTTAACTCCCAAAATACCAAGTCCTTTGTTGCATTCGAAAACGCCTTTGATATTTAAACGCAAACTAAGAATTGACGCGATCTGCACATGTTGTGTACGGAGAGTGGCAACCGCATTCGCGACATTGGAACTGATTTCTCACACGGTCATCGCAGTTTTCGGGCGGAAACCATAGTTTTTCGTTCCTTGTCAAGGACATGCATTCAAATATTGATGAGAGGAAATCGAGCGATACCCTTTGACCTCACAACGGGAATCTTGGTCTAGCTAGTCTGATCTATTATTTTGTAGGGATGGGCTGTTTGTGAATTCAACGAACACTCACTGCAATATCAGCACTCTATCGGTACTTTATATTAAAGTACTGCGTGCACATCAATGACTGGAACTTTACAGATGTGTCACAAATAGTTCTTTACATTTATTTTACATTATAACCACGCATTGTTTTGAATTCCCACCCTCTGTACAAGTGTACAGTCCCAAATCGAAGATGGCGACTGCCAGGCAGGGCATGTTTTTACGTTATTTGAGGAATTTTACTCAAATTTCTAGCTGTGGTAAGTTTATTGTCACAAACCGTATTTATTTTTTCAATCAACATGTAATCACAAATCGGATGAGCAATCTGCTCAAGCCATTCAATGTGTGAGTGGAAAAAAATTACATATCTTTGTTGAGGTTCTGGGTGTCGGTGCCCCGGATCATGCATGTGTAGTATACTCATGTTGTGTGTGTGGCAGAAACTACAACGTACGGTTCAATTTATTATTGTTAAATCTGCGGTGGACGTTTTTCGTGATCAGTGATATTCGCTAAATTAATAGTTTGACATTTTATGAGCACTCGTGGCAATATAAAAACAAAAAAACCAAATCACTGCATAAATGAATAGAATAGAATAATGCTTTATTAATACCGTAAAGAAGGAGTTAACATTTCCTTTTAGGTTTTCAGATTAATAAAGTAAATAATAAAAGTACATGAAATATAAAAATTGATTTAAAAAGAATTCAACATTAGTGAACAATTCAACATTAGTGAACGACAAGAATGATGATGCTTGTGTACTACTGGTACTGGCACTGTGTGTTTGCATTTGGCGTTTTGATGATGGGAGAGACAATGTACCTGCAACCAAGTTAATTGATCGTTGACACTGACTTCAGTTGTTACGTCGAACATCATCGAAAAAAGTGATTGCTTGGACTTGATATTCCATTGCAAATGAAACCTTCTACCTTCATGTACATGTACTCGGTAGTTCCAAAGTTCCAATGGTCAACAAAATGTTATTTGTTGTCAAAATTGCATTGGGGGGGTGGCTGCCTATAATAGAGCAGTATCTATGATAAAACTCACTAAACTGAAAATCGCTATTTATTGAATTTACCAAAACAATGGTATGCAAGAACAAAATTACACTGTAACCTCGCTATAACGAACTCTTTTATAACGAACTTCCGGATATAACTAACACACTGTATGTCCCCTGCATATTAATGAGGTAACAGGTTACATTTATCGGCTACGGCAAATCCAGACGTCACTCAGCTGTCACCTACGCTTAATAAATGGTAGTATTCTTTTTACATCATTATTCTTTTGTTTACGATCCTTTAGCATATATTCACACCTTTCCGTTTTCACTTTGGTGCGGTGCGATAGAGGGTTTACGTCTTTTCACAGACGTGTTTGCTTTCAAAGAGGCAGACTATCACACCTCATTGTCGGCGCCATTTCGCACTTTTCGTTGGTATACTTTATCGTGATTTCTGCTTATTGCTGATCCAATCATATCTATGAATTCTGTTTTAAAAGAGGACTCATTTGCCATGGAAAACCACTCTTACTCGAGTTTCTACTCAGTGAACATCGTCTCTTATCGTAATCGTAAATTGTCAGCGTTATCCAGTTTTATTGACTCCCATGTGCGAAGCACAAAATGGGAGTCTTTGCAGTTAGTGTGTCTGTATGTGTGTATGTGTGTATGTGTGTGTGTATGTGTGTCCGACTGTTCCACTGCTATCTCAAGAACCATACATCGGTTTTTGATGAAACTTGGTGCATAGATGCTCTGGACCAATGCGCAGATTTGATTAGGTTTTGGTAAAAATCCATGCTCGTTAATTACCTAATTTGCATGATAATTAGCTAATTTTTAGCTGTTCTATGACTGTTCCACTGATATCTAAAGAACCACTCATTGGGTTTTGATGAAACTTGGTACATAGATGCTCTGAACATATGCGCAGATTTGATAATTTTTGGTAAAAATCCGTGCATATT